CATACGGCCATGATTTTTCCGTTGCTTCACCACAGACATTTATGAAACTGTACAATTATGATCTTTTACCCACACGGATGTGGATGAGCATTTTACACAGACATTTCTAAATATCTGGAAGTATATCTACTTGATAGAAAGTTTAAAGATGGGAAAGAAGTTTAGAGGGAGGAAAGATGGTATGGGAGGGGAAGTGTTCACCAGAATTGACACTCTCCGTCAGAACCCAGCTCTCCCCGGTACGCTTGGTAGGAAACTTGACTCGTTACCTTTCTGAAGTTAATTCAGCAGATATGGAGCTCCGTTAACGCTACCTGTCCAGCGTCTCCTTAGGATGCTGTGAATCGTCAGAAGTAGTGGCGAGTGAAAATGTTATAATCCCATGGAACTCGGCAGAGCTCTGTTGCCATGTCAGGATCATCCCGTCTCCATCAGAACTGAACAGAACTGTCCCAGAACTGTTCCAGCACCATCCCAGAGCTTCTAACAGAACTGTGTAGTTTACAGATCTCGAGCAGAGCCGTACCAGAACTGAGTAAACCAGGAAGTACTGACATTTTAAAGAGCTGTTTCCCGGTTCACTTTTGGGAGTATTACCATTGGTCAGAACCGACCAGACGGGGTGTGTTTTGTGACGTAAGAGGTTAGAAGACAGCAAGAATTGTTATGGAAAGGTCAGAAATGTTCTCACAGACAGAGAGAGTTTTGTTTTGGCGCGTTTCAGAAACAGGTGCCAAAAACCTCTATATTACGTCTGAGAGGATTCTAAAAACATGACAGTTTTAACATAACAATTTGTTTTGCGTTTGACTCCAACCTTGGACCAACTTACACTTGCTCATTCAAAAGCAGAAATCAGAAAAGGCATAATTACCCTGTAACAGCTTTGACATGAGTTCTAACTTTGCGTGAGAAAATCATTACACAGTTAATAAAATTGATTAGTTCACTGCAACATCTAAAATGGTTTGAACTAAGACACTTTGATTATCAACATTTTATTAAAATAGTAATGATAATAAAACAGAGAGTGTTCTTTTCACTTGAATCTTCAAGAGAGAAAGTCTCAGGATGGGTGAACCTGTATTTCTGGATTCAAATCAATGAAATGACAGTTCCTGTCCCACAAGGTTCTTAAGGTCAAGATTTTTGACCTTAGACTTAGTTTTTGACATGGGCCTAGTCCACTACAGTATGCATTTCTCAGAACTACTCCCCGTTCAACAACAATATTAACTTTATCTATAGAATCCAGAAACATAACCACAGCATTGTTCGTTCTGGCCGTTGCTTTCACACCCAACCACCTCTCCAAGAGCTAACGCATACTCTTCAACCGAGTAATCCATGCCCACCGGCATCTTGATCCCATGTCAACGGGACAAACTCCCACACCTGGTGTTTCTGCCGGCCATCGCACCAAGCCTGGCGCTGCCGAACAGAAAACCAGAAAAACACCACTATAACCCGGAGTGCTTTTAAACAGTTGTACCACACACAAAAAATGAAGAGAGAGCACATGAATCATCTTACAAAAGTAAAAGAAAACGCTAGTCAAACCTTCAAGAAGTTCACTTCCACTCTCCTCTCTACCCGTGTGTCAGACGCTCACGCATGCGCACAGAGAGAGAGAAAGAGAGAGAGAGAGAGAAAAGAGAGACCCCACTCCTCCCTCCACCCACTCAAAAAAAATCTATAATGTTTATTTATAAAGAATCTCATGAAATCATCACTACTTATATATTTGTAGGGATACACACCTCATTAGAGATAGGATTTTTCATTAGTCTAGCTCTAGTACTGAACAGAAACCTGGGTTTACTTTGATTCTCATCTATGAAAAATGAATAATATACAGTTCTAGCTTTACGGAAAGCTTTCTCATATGTTAGCAGGCTATCTCTCCAAGTTATATAAAATTATTCCATGCTAGTGGAGCGCCATTTTCTTTCCAGCATTCTAGATGCCTGTTTCAACGTACGTAACCCAGAATTGAACCAAGGAGCCAATTCAATTCAGTTTATTAATATGGTACCAAGTAACAACAGAAGTCATCTCAGGGCATCAGTTTCTTCTGATCGATTACTTTCTTTTTCAGCAGTGCAACTTTTCAGCGGTGCAAAAAAATTGCTAAAAAACAACATAAACAAACAAAATACTTTTTTAGAATTTGTGTATGTTACCTGTACATATCTAATTAAAAGGTTTTTTTTTAATATGTGTGTAAATATCAAATTTTATAACGTGGACACCCACAGCTTATAGACAAGCACTGCCTATATATGTACAATTATTATAATTTTTTTTAAATGTATATTTATATTATATTATATTATATATATATATATTTATATTATCGTTACTTATATTCATGTGTGCGCAATTGTCCAGAAGTTACGGTAATGATAAAATAAATAAACAAATAAATAAATAAATAAGTAAAGCTGGAGTTCTGTAGCTTTTGTTTTTTTAACCTTTGTTTGAATTTATTTTGTCTTAGTTGACTGAGAATCTTCACCAGTTGTGTCATTGCTGAATTGTCATTTTTTAAATAGGAAGAGGAAAGCATATTTTACCCAAAATAAATCTTTCTTCTTCTCTTGTCCCTTGGGCCTTCACCTTCTTAAGGTTTCTTACGAAGACGTGGAGAAGCTGCGTCATCTGGCAGTTCTGTCCCCAACCAGAATTCCACACTTCATGCGTGACCAGGACCGATATCTGCAGCACTTGGACTACATTGCCCTAATCAATGAGCTGGATGATTCAACACTGGAACAGCTTCTTCCTTGAGCATTGTGTCCAGAAGGGTTGTTGTAACAACTGTTTTATGTTCTAGATGGTTTTGTCAAACCGTCAATATTAAAATACTTTTTCTGTACAACTTGAGTGAAGTGAATAGAAAGGGATATATACACCGACACCTGTCTACTGTTTCTCTTCTATACAATGCACATTGTATTCCAACAGCTGCAGTTAAACTGCCTCAACTTTATGAAATTACCTCGGTATTATCAATGTATATAATGAACATTATAAATGTAAACTCACAAAACTATACATTTTCACATTCACATTAGTTTTATTTATGAATTTTGTTTTATTTCAAGAACAAACAATGTTTCTGGTTTTAGCTTTATACCATTTTTTGGCAAGGACCAGGTTTTTGGATTCGAAGACAGCCAGACGAGTAAAAACAAGAACAGTCTTATTTATTTTGCAGCTGCAGAAGATGTCAGGATCCAACTGTAGTGACAGGTCCTCACAGGCTGAGGGAGAGAGCCCCTATTCAGCGTTTCAGAACCAGACGAGGAGCAAGCAAAAACAGGGAATCCAGAAGGCAAGGCGCAAGGTTGATAATCCAAAGAGCAAGGATTGACGTCTAGGCATGAAACTATGAAGGCTTTACTATCAAGAACCACGAGAGGTATAATAATTCAGCAAAGGACAAGTGAAAGTGGAGCTCTTATACAAGGCCAAGAACAGGTGCAGTGAATCAGAGCTGATGAGCTGAAAGTGCAGAGGGGGCGTGGCTAATGACAGAGAAGAAAAACAGCATGATGACAAAGAGGAGCAGAAACATGACATGATGGGGCTGTAAGTGTGAGACAAGGGCTGATGGGGGGTCAGCAGGGGTGGCTGACCATGACTTTTTTTTATTTTTTTAAGATTTCTGCCTTGGAACAACACAGCAAAAGAAGAAACTTGGGCTATGTGTCTTTTAAAAACATCAAGTGCCAGTGGTCTCAGTAAAGGGTAGTGTTGTGGTACTCTAGACCGGTCTTGGTCTCAAGACCACTTTTTGATGGTCTTGTCTCGGACTCGACCACATTTGGTCTCAGTCTTGTCTCGGTCTCAGACATTGAGGACTCAGGATTTTATTTCAAGACCAGTCAAGACCACAACTGTGGAAATGTCACTAAATTGTCAGAATATTGTCCAGTTTATTTGTTAACATTTTTGTTTTTATTGGATGAAAAACACTGATTCAAATCCAAGCGATGATGTGACGCATTGCTAAATACATGTTTTTGTAACCGCTGTCTTGCCCATCCCCTTTCACGCCTCACTCCCAGTGTTGCCAGATTTACTGTTTACTGCCAATTGGGCAGTTTTATTTTTTATTTTGATGGGAACTATGGGAAGATTTTTGTTGGACTGTTACATTTTGCCACATATTGTTAAATTACTTTGGCTTGTACTGATGTGTGTTCATGTTCAAACAGTAAATATACTGTAAAGATATATTGATCGGGTGGATTTTTGTGTGATGTGGTGGTTTTTAACAGATTTTTGAGCTGGAAAACCTAAAATCTAGCTGGCAACACTTCACTCGAAGAAAGTGAGAAGCGATTGTCTGGGCACAGGAGAAGATGTCTGCCAAATCATCAGATAAAAATGTGTATTTAAATCACAAAATACTTGTAACTAATATCCATTTATGTAACTTTTTAGGTGTACAGTGCCTTGTGAAAGTATTCGGCCCCCTTGAACTTTTCAACCTTTTGCCACATTTCAGGCTTCAAATATAAAGATATAAAATTTTAATATTTTGTGAAGAATCAACAAGTGGGACACAATCGTGAAGTGAAATGAAATTTATTGGATGTGTCAAACTTTTTTAACAACTAAAAACTGAAAAGTGGGGCGTGCAATATTATTGGGCCCCTTTACTTTCAGTGCAGCAAACTCACTCCAGAAGTTCAGTGAGGATCTATGAATGATCCAATGTTGTCCCAAATGACTGATGATGATAAATAGAATCCACCTGTGTGTAATCAAGTCTCTGTATAAATGCACCTGCTCTGTGATAGTCTCAGGGTTCTGTTCAGAGAGCATCATGAAGACCAAGGAACACACCAGGCAGGTCCGAGATACTGTTGTGGAGAAGTTTAAAGCCGGATTTGGATACAAAAAGATTTCCCAAGCTTTAAACATCCCAAGGAGCACTGTGCAAGCAATCATATTGAAATGTAAGGAGTATCAGACCACTGCAAATCTACCAAGACCCGGTCGTCCCTCTAAACTTTCATCTCGAACAAGGAGAAGACTGATCAGAGATGCAGCCAAGAGGCCCATGATCACTCTGGATGAACTGCAGAGATCTACAGCTGAGGTGGGAGAGTCTGTCCATAGGACAACAATCAGTCGTACACTGCACAAATCTGGCCTTTATGGAAGAGTGGCAAGAAGAAAGCCATTTCTCAAAGATATCCATAAAAAGTGTTGTTTAAAGTTTGCCACAAGCACCTGGGAGGCACACCAAACATGTAGAAGAAGGTGCTTTGGTCACATGAAACCAAAATCCAACTGTTTGGCCACAATGCAAAATGTTGGTTACGTACTGTAACCCCAGATTCTATGAGTATAGGCGTAGCCCTTTAAGGCTGTCGCTTAGTGGGTTTATCCCGATATGCAAAGCATCACACTGAAAAATTTAGTCCATGCCCACCTGCTGTGTGGGCCCCACCTGGTCCGTATAAATTATGTTAAGAGCGGGAAATCGGCTCCCAAAAATAGCTTTTTCTTCAGCCATTTAGGAGCCAGTGAGGCCCGACGCTTAAAGGGCTACGCCTATACTCATAGAATCTGGGGTTACAGTACGTAACCAACGTTCTATTTCGTATAGGCTTCGCCCTTTAAGGCTGTCGCTTAGTGGGTTAAAGGCGAAGCGGATGTTGTCCTCGCCTCACTGGGTCCATTCGAACACCGTATGAAGCAGAAGCTTGCCCAAAAAACGTCTTGTCACTCAGCTCCCCATGTGCGTAATTACGCATTGCGTAATTATGTGTGCCATTCACAGACGCATGTTGTGTAACTATGCGTTCTGAATGCATGAACGCCCCAGAAAAGTTCAACGGGGAGGGAAAAAAGCTGAAAAGAGCCATGAACCAACCGGTTTACGGCTGAACCGTATGAACAGATTAATAATAACAGGAGAGCTGATTATTAATCATATAAACTGATTGGTAACAATAGTCGTGAACTGATTAGTGACAATAGAACCAAAATAACAATCACAACTTGTGACTGATAACATCTCACACTGTAATGCATGCAGACAGATGTGAGTAAAACAGAGTTCCATGAAACAACAATATTCATTCTGTAAACAATAAGGACAGAATGTGTCATGGAACGAACCGTCACATCACGTAGATAAAAGCGAATGAATGAGCAGGGTGTTGACCACGCGGCCGCAGTGCAAAATGTCCTGCATTGACATACCATTATGCAACGCAGTCGAAGATGCGATACCCCTGATCGAGTGTGCTCTGAGGTTGACAGGAGGCTCTAAATCTGATGCTCTGTAGGCTTCAGAAAATGCCTCACACAGCCAGTGTGACAAGTGCTGGGTGGATAACGGGCGACCTGCAGATGCATCTCTATAATGCACAAACAAATGTTGACGCATTGCAGCTGTGCACGCTATGTAACACGTCAACGCCCGCATCGGACAGAGAAGATGAAAAGACGCTACTTCTTTTGATCTGTGTGTGTGTGTGGGAGGGGGGACCCCTCCAACGATATCGCTCTTGATTTAAAAGAGCTCGTGATGTTTTAGGCATAAAAGCTGGGTTTGGTCTTAAATCAGCTGAGCTGCCGTCAGCCTGAATTCTAAGACATGACGGAGCGACAGAGAGGGCAGATAAATCACTCACTCTCTTAGCGGATGTTAAAGCCAGCAGCAGGGCTGTTTAAAAAGACAATAATTTAAGTGGAACCTGATCCAAAGACTCAAATGGAGCTTTGATCAGGACCCGCAGGACCAGTATTAAATCCCACTGTGGAACAAGTGGGTGTGAAACAGGCCTGCGTCTCTGTACACCTTTTAGAAAACACTTCATCAGCGGATGATTAAAACCTGTTCTGTCTCCGAAACCTTTCGTGGCAGGAAGAGATGGCTGCAGCGTACGTTTTAATCGTGCTGGACATCAAATTTCTGACCATCAGCTGCTGCAGAAAGGACAGCATGCCACCTAATGGACATGAGGTGGCCTCTACACCCTTCTCTGTACACCAGCGCTGAAAAGCTGTCCACTTTGATGTGTACAGCGCTGTGGTAGATGCAGCGCGTGAAAACAGAATTGTGCGCACTACATCATGTGGGAGACCCATCCTCTCTAAGCGGATCCGTTCGGCGGCCAGACCCACAGGTGCTGGCCTATTTCTGGGTAACTCCTGGTCGCTCCTTCTGCCTGGAGGAGAGCGTCCTCCCTCCACGGCAGTTTCCCACGGGCACCCTGTGAAAAAATTAATAAACTGACACAGTATTGTTTAAATATTGTTTAATTCATATCCATCCTGCAGTTTTAAAGTTGATGTGTAGATGTGAACTCTGATAAACTCTTCTCAAAGTCTCCTGCTCAGCAACGTCCTTGCATTCAGCACCTGCAAAAGACGAGGACACACAAAGACGTTATCTGACTAATTGCGTGCTGAGGACGCTTTTTGTATCAACATGTTCTCTCTTTATCAGAATGTTCTAGCCACAAGGACAGAAGACTGTTACAAATCAAATTAAAAAACACCAGCTCCACAAGAAAAAGAACACCTCGTGCTGAGGACAAGAGCCTGTGTTTGATAATCAGCATGAGAAACCTTGTCCTCCCTTCTGGTGTGATGCACGAAACATGTATAAAAGTGTGTACTGTCTCTTTTGTGCTCAGTGCTTATTCTGATTTTGTTCAGAGAGCAACTCCTTTCTGCAGAAAGAATAAACCTTGCGCTCCGATTTGAGCTAAAGAGAGGTGTCTCCGGTTCTCTTTTTATTAGGAGTTTTTAAACTTTAA